GAGTCTGAAACATCGGTCGACTCATCCATTTGTAAGGAAAGCTAGTCACATTTCTTGAAATCGCATTTTATTTGGCCATGAATATCATTTGGTAGGTCATCAGATAACGACACTTTTTTATTGCTGAGATTACGCTGTTTTTGTTTTGAAAATCCTGAAACAGAGATTCTGTCATGTCTAGCATAGAAAGATAAGAAGTGAACGTGTTCCTAAAAATTCAAAAATAAAAGCCTACTTACGTACCAAAAAAGCTTCCAGTTGTTAAACTTTTCAATTCAATACAAAATATTCTGTTCATCTTCTTGTTTGCGGGCGCCAAAAATTTAGGTCGCGAGCTACCAGGCGCCCGCGAGCTGCCAATACCAGTAGTGCCAGAATATTTTTTTTTTGAAATTCGTTCGGTCTTTAAAATTCCCAATTTTTCCCGACATGCACATAAAATTAAAAAAAAAATCCCTATTTATCATTTAATTTATAAACACTTTACATAAATTAAAAAACTAGACGTATGTTTTATTCCACCAACATTTTATGTTGAACTGCTAAAACTTATTTGTAATTATGTACATACCTATCTGTTAGGTATCTACATTCGACTGCCCCAAAAAACCAAAATTATTAGTTTTTAATGGATTTTACTGGTATTGTGTTAAAAACTATCCGAATAAAATTTTTTGCAATTCGGACCACGGCAACCCGTGACGACTTGCAGTCAGAGTTATCAACAAGGGCGTAGCGAGGTAGGGGCCACCTCCACGCCACCTACACCTATAACGAAGGAAAATTTTCAAAAATTAAGAAATAAAAAGTACACAATTGTACGCATTCCTTTCCCTTCCAATGCCTTCGTATCCCTTTCACTACCTTCTCTTTCCCTTCCAATGATTTCGTATCCCTTCCAATGCGTTCTTATCCCTTTCATTGCCTTCCTTCCCCTCTTCCAGTGCCTTCGTATCCTTTCCAATGCCTTCGTATCCCTTCCAATGCGTTCCTATCCCTTTTAATGCCTTCCTACCCCTCTTCCAGTGCCTTCCTATCTCTTCCAATGCCCTCGTATCCCTTCCAATGCGTTCCTGTCCTTTCCAGTGCCTTTGTAGCCCTTCCAATGCCTTATTATCCCTTCCA